TCTGGATCATGTTTAGATATGTCTTCTTTTTCGACCTATAGAGTTTTAGCCAGCAACGGTAAATGGCACGGCGGATTGTGTTCACCAACATTGTTTTCTGGAAGTATTCCTGAGCCCATGTTGTGATTTCCATTACAGTAGCATTTCTGTATGTGATGTAGTGCCGTCTAAGGGCCCGAAGATCATGGGCATCCAGTATGGTTTTCCGGCCTTGACCCTTACGCACAGAGATTGTTCCAGATTCTCTGAATCTTTGGATGGTATTATGCACTGTAGATGATGATAACTTCACACTCTTTGCAATTCTTCTCTGAGAAACTCCTTTCTGATATTGCTCCACTATTTTTCACCGCAGCATTGGGAGAATTGGTGATTCTCTGCCCATCTTGACTTTCTGAGAGACACTGCCACTCTGAGAGGCTCTTTTTATACCCAATCATGTTGCCAATTGACCTGATAAGATGCAAATTGGTCCTCCAGCTGTTCCTTATATGTACATTTAACTTTTCCAGCCTCTTATTGCTACCTGTCCCAACGTTTTTGGAATGTGTAGCTCCCATGAAATCCAAGATGAGGCAATATTTGGCATGACATTTCAAAATGTCTCATTTTCAACATTTGATATGTTATCTGTATTCTATTCTGAATAAAATACTGGAATTTCAACCTTCCACATCATTGCATTCTATTTTTATTCACATTTTGTACAGTGTCCCAACTTTTTTGGAATCGGGTTTGTATAAGTAGCGTTAGTTTTGTCCATTTGATTTTATTTCAGTGACAAAATTACCTTCTCTCCATGTTTTCTTTTATATTATCTGTTTTGTACAAACAGTTTTTATTCTATGGGAACTTTTCTAAATTCTACTTTTAGATAAATTGTAATAAATGTGATAGTAGTAAACGGATAATAAATCTACAACCTCTTGATTGGAAAATAAACTTTCCATTCCCAATATAACTGCAGGACATTTATGCAGAACCAGTTTAAAACACAGCCTGTACAACGTCTACATGACATAGTTTGTATTTAATACAGTATAGCTTGATTCAATAGTCATACGAGTGATAAAGTAATAGGTTTAACAGAACAAATATAAAATTAATGTAGATAACTGTATATCCTGTGTAATCGTATGAAAACAGCTGTTGAATACAACAGAAACATTAAATAGGGCACATTTTGCGTCCATCATTGAAAGGAAAAACGATCCTAAAATCAGAATGCATGAGGATGGCAAATAAAAATGTTTCACTACAAGCAAATTCAATATGAATTCTGTAGCAAAGAACACTTTTTTCACCAAGCAACAACATAATACAACATATGACACACAGACACTCAGTATTTGTACATGTACTCTATAATAATGACAAGATACTGGGACCAGATGACACCACAGATTACAAACAGTCTGTAGAACTTAAAATAACACAATGAAAATATATTTCAGCCAAGTCTCTGACTCTTAGCTGCACCCCAGTATCCAGATGTTTACAGTAAATCCCAATATGTGTTTGTTTATTACTAAATTTAATACTAACAGTTGAGTTATCCAGCATCATGTTGCTATTAAATTTTATTTATCATCCATGTATCATCATAATGACTAATCTCAGGGCAACTGGGAATAGTTATTTGAAAGTGCTAAGAAATGATTTGTGTAAACTATATACATATATTGATTGCACTAGTTATGAGGTCTTTACTGATGACTTCCACAGTTGAACACTTCAATAGCATAGCCACTGCAGCATGGACTGTTCTAAACAGGTGCACGTCTTTGTGCGCAGGGCTTATTAGTACTTCCCCACAAACACAGTGGCACTGCTAGTGATGAAAGACATTGTCACTGTACTGTAAATCGGGAGATGTCAGTATTTAGGTAAGGTCTGGATGGAGAGTTAGGGTTTCAGTGGATATTTCTGTAAAAAAAACAAAACTAAACTAAACTACAGTGGAATTCACATGTATAGTAACTTAATTAGGGGGTTAACACCCTGATAGTTCAGAATGTGCTTTACTCCTCCATAATGCCTTCCAGTGTTGCTTGCTGAAGAGGAGGAAAATGCATCATGCAACTTTAATCAAATACAAAGTCATCTTGGCAAAAAAACCCCCCCAACAAATAAGCTGTGTTTGGTAACAAATTAGGCAGTTTTACCTTTTTGTGTTTAGTAAGACACTCCTGAGACTACTAAGCTTGCTCCTACCATATGTTAAAAATACACCGTGATGAATGGAACATTTACTGGACACAATGGAGGTACAAAAATGACCCTATAATTGTTGTGCGATACCAATTAATAAAAAAAAAGTGTGCTTAATGGACTATTTCGCTCCAATACTAAAACTGCATCAGTAACTTAAATCTCACCCTTAATTTGAAACTCCAATAAAAACAATTTGTGCATAATAATCAAAGTTTGCCACTGTAGTTTCATATCATCTCTTTTCAAAATGATTAAATTTAGCTTGGTGCTTACCTCATGCATCTGACCACATATAGGGAATAACTGTGCCTGTGGGGAATTAATTTGATTACGCAAAACTGGATTTCCAAAGCAGATGTCAGGAGAAGATGAAGTCATAACTAGATGGACTTTTAACCAATATTGAATTATTTTGGGGTAAATAACTTCAAGTTTCCTATTTTTTCCCCCTAATCCCCCCCCACAGAACTGCACAGCACTGGAGTAGTCTGCTCACTCTACCACATATTTTCTGAGATATGTTCTCCAAAAACAAAATGTCATGTTGTTGCAGCCAGAATGTTATCACACTGAAATTTCATCATGTCCACAACAAGTGTTTTATTGTCACTGCCAGTAAAGAATGGTCTAGTTTCAAAAGACAGTTTCAGCAATGACGTTATTTTCTTGGTTTCATTAATTGGTCACACAACACTGCTTGGAGTTAACAGAGTGACTGTAGAAATCTGGACTGAACTGGCTTGGGAAGTCGGGGATGAAGCTCACTGATTGGCTGGGAGCAGGCCCTGCCTTTGGGCATGCTCCAAAATGGCATTGTAACAGAAGTAATACTGGTCTGGGGTTTGAATGCTGAAGGCCCTCTGGGTTCTCATGCGTCGCACAGTCTGGCACACATTTAGCGAGCCTACGTCCTGTAGCTGGGACAAACAGATGTCCAGGGCACAGAAGGTACCTGCCAATAACAGGTAGCTGGTTAGCAGTAACACTTTTTAAAAAAAAATTAATCACCAATGAAAAGCAATTATCATTATCTTGAAAAGAATGGGGCAAGTTGCGACTTTATGCGTTCAAATTTGTCCTAAAGCTGAACAATCTCATCTCATGATTCTTGAAGCTCTTAATATAACTTCAAAAATGGCTGTCTGTACTTTTCAGTCCTTGAAATGTGGGTGTTTTACAAGATAATCAAATGAGAAATAGTCTGAAAACATTCGGATGCAGACATAATGGTAACATAAGGCTTCTGGACAGATACAATCTCAAGATCTCACCTGTTCTCCCAATCCCTGCGCTGCAGTGAACCACCATCGGGGGTCCTAGTGGGTGGCCTGTCCACTGAAGTCCCAAAGCCTTCACCATTTTCCTCTGTTGTCTCTTCACAGCTACCAGGAAGTCAATAAGAGTCACAGCTGAGGTGGGAACACCATAGTCAGGCCAGCTGAGGTACTGGAAATGACTCACTTGTCTTTGTTCACATGTCTGAATGGAAAAAAAAAAAAAAAAATATTGACAGGTATATACTTGTTGTATATTGAAAAACATTCTGCTAATGAAGTGTGGCTTGATTGCACCATTGAAAGAGTAGTCTGACATTTTGTGAAATGTACTTACTTGCATTCTCAGAGTTAAATGAGGGGACTGATGCCACTTTCATGTCGGTGTAATAAATATAAAGCTGGAGTAAATTTAGAGGCAAGGGGTAACAGCCAGCCTGGCTCTGTGACAAGCTGAAAATCTAATCTCCTAGCACCACTATATTTTACAACTTAACACAGTATCAGAGTTGTTTAATCTTCACGCAGACAGAAGTGTAAATATGATAAGGTGTGGCTTTAATATCTTGGCCTGGAACAGTATCTACACCTGGCCGGGAAGTAGTTCCATCTGAGCCAGGGTAGGATTAGGACATCTGGGATGGCTTTCATTTGACCCGAATACAGTAAAGGAACATGGATCTCACAAGTGGCCAGAACTTCCACAGAGAAATATCTGTGACTCTGTTATGCATGTGTGTACCTATTATTTATTTTCTCCAAGTTGTTCACTGAGTATTGTTGCTAAATGAAAAGCCTCAACCCCCCCATGTGAGCACACTGGCTCATGGCTGTACCTCAGTGTTGTGCAGTTCGAGGATGGTGTGGTTGTAGTGGGTATGGTGGTCCACCCTTTGGTTCACCACTGCCATATGGCCATAGACCTCCTGCCCCCCTTCCTCCAGAGGCCAATACTGGCCACATTTCCTCCGACCGCCCTCGTCTGTCCTGCAGCACATAAACACATTTGAGTAAATCTAAGTCACGTTTGACTAACATTCAGGAGGATAAATCAACACTTTTCTTTGACTCAACAAAAATGATATTATTCTTGGTGCTTTCCTAGTTGAATTACCTGGTTGTCATTACGATAACAAGCACATTTTGTTCCCAGACCATTCTCCAGAAATCACCATAGGTCCTTTCCAGTGGTCCTATACAGCACAGCAGGAGATTTAAAGCAAATTAAATTGACCTCCAGAAAATTGAGTCAGTGATCAAATGTAATGGAGCATATCTATCTGATGCCATGGAACAGCCTGTTAGCAGAATCCAAATTTTACTAGCAAAACTATTCAATAATTACATTAAATCTCTTCAGTGTTGACATACTACAGTAAATACATACAACCGCAAATTCATGTTCAAGTATACTGTCAAATAAACATACATTCCACTTGAGTACAATATAATCATTTACAATTAATAAATGCTATGTGGCAGGTGTCATACAGTACCTTGAGTACCAATGTATGCATTCTTCTGTTTGTAGCCATCCATGAAGCTCGCATTGATGTAATCTGATCTCTGTGGAAATAATACAGCTTCATCACAAATACAAAATCTAAAATAATCCATGCCAGTTTCTGAGCATACCTAAAAGATAAGTCATTTTCTGATCTGCATGAGGCTGAGGAAGTATTAAACTATTTAAAAGGAGTAAACACAACTGAATGACAGTACATTGGTTATGGTTACTCTGCTTTACAAGCTGGTTGGTATTTGTCCAGGGTGGAGGCCCTTCAAAATGTTGAGGCTTTTCTTGGCAGCTGAGTGAGCATGAACACTACACGTCTTTTTGTTTCGCTACAAATGACAGCTGTAATTTGCAGATTTACCTCATTCCTTCTCGGTTTCAAACGCACTCTTGTTTGATCAAGGCACAGCACGTCTCCATAGCGATTCCTCTCCTGATTGTAGGCTGCCCTGTAGAAAATTGACAAAAAAAAGATGAGTGACCTTTGCCACAGCCACTAAGCTTTAACAATGACAATCTACAAACTATAAAACTTGACTTAAACATATTACTTTTGTATAGTTGCCTACGTTGAAAATGTTACTCTCAAGATGGTAACCACCAGTGCTGGGATTAATATGTTTTCATGGCTTGTGACAAGTACACATACAGTGTAATTTTTAATCTTTTGCCCCCATCTCTGTAATAAACATCTAGAGCTCCATATGCGAGGCATCAAGTCATACTACAAACTCACTGTGCACAGTGGAAGGTTCCAGGTGGCGGTTCTTTGCGGAGCTCCTCGTACTCCTGATGGACACCTGAGCGCTGAAGCCTGCCGAGGTGCATCAGCAGCTCCTGCGGCCGCATAGATTCAGGTCCGGGCATGTGTATGGAAGTATCATCCAAGGGGATGCCCACCAGCTCGTCCACGGGGTCTACTCTGCCGTTCTGGCCCACCAGTAGCTGCTGGTTCCAGCTGTACGAATCAAGAGGCAGCAAGCCGCCAAGATGCTGAGGGAGACAGTCTCTGGGGAGGTGCTGACATAGCTCAGCCATTTTTACCATCTGAACCTGGAGTTTTAAAGGACACGGATTGACAGAGAGTTATGGGTTCAGCTTATGCTTGACATTAAATTAGACCAACTCCGTTTTCATGCCAATAACTAATTATTAAATAATTATTCTTGATTGCATGAATAATCCTGATACAAAATTTATAGTGGCCGAGCAGATGACAGATATCAGTGCTGATGAAATTCCTCAGGGACAGTTTGTGGCATAATGATCATCTCCGGTGATTCAAACATTAACATGGGGCAGCAGGGCGGATCAGTGGTCAGAGAGAACCTCAGGAAATGATCACTTGTAACAATCATTAACACCAAATTGCTGCTCACACATTGTTTCCAATTCCAGAAAAACTAAGCACAATTTTACTTGACAAAGTAGAATCAGTAATATAGAGCTAAAGAGCTGATGTGAGAAATGATATTAAATTATTATTAAATAATTTAGGATTAGAAAATGAGCAAAGAGCTCCTTCATTTACTCTCTCCCGAAGTTTCTCTTTGAGAAGCAGGCTGAGCAGATTGTAGGGCACTCGAAACCAAACTGGGGCCCCGACAATCAGCACCTTCTTCAGTCTGGCCGGGAACGCCCCCTGGTGGAGAGACACAGCACAGCTGATCACAAACTACAAGTTATAGTAACACAGAATCAACAGGATTTCTTTACCTGTTCTTTCTAAAGTTTTTATTTGGACAACAATGAACCAATTATTTGGGTCTGAAACCAAATGTATGAACAGGGCACACAAAGAAGCTCACTTTCTTTTTTTGAAGGTGTGTCAGAGCCAGTCCAAACATACAGAATTATATTGTGGACTTCTGCTTCTCAAAATAAATTATATTGAGGACAACTCAACTACTCCAGTCAATTTTAAGATTGATATATGGGGACAGAATACACGCCACTGCAGCTGATGTGTCCTTGTTGGTGACTCCAGATTACATACTAGATTCTTAAAGCATAAATCACTTGGGTATAGGCAAACATGCAGATAACTGCCAAAATAAACAATCACTGAGTATTACACTGCCATGGCGTGTTGATTAAATCATTTTTATGCTTGTCAGCCAAGTCGGTGGCCATTCATTTTGCCCTTTAAATGGGCACTAAATTCCTTGAAGACACACCAACCCTGTTTTAATCAATCTGCTTTTTACACAGGATAAAGGATTTAACCTCAGCCGTTATGCATTAACCTTGTCCTGGAAAGGAGTGGATCATTTTCAGTAATGGTAGAAAATGCTACCTGCTGCCTTTCACTGAGTAAGGCTACATTCTGTGAATATAGTATTTTTCAGACATTTGCCTTAGTTTGGCATTTACTGTACATATACAGAAATATTTACTGAAACTCTAACCTTGAGCAAGTTTAGGATCTTCTTGCTCAGGTCCAGCTCAAAATTTGTGTAGTTGGAGCCTGCCATGTCATAAATGAACACCAAGCCATTTCTCTGGGTCTCAAGGCTGTGGA